TCCTGTTTGAGCCGGATGCTCTCCAGGCGCTGGGGGCTGGGGATGAAGGCGATGTCTCCGCCCTCTTTCACTAGCCTCCCGATCCACCAGTCATTACTGTACTTCTGGGAGTGGACGAGAGCGGGGAGGAGCTGTGAGGGGCGCTTGCCCAGGCCCCTTCTGAGCCAGGGAAGACTTTGGGAAGCTGGTGTGAGGAAGGCAGAGGAGGGGCCAAGGAGAGTATGATGGCATCACAGAACAGTGCAGCCAGGTTCAAGTCGTGTGGCGTCACGGGTGTCACAGGAGACTACTGGTTAACCTCCCACTTAACAGAAGTGAGGACCAAGGCAGGGCTGAGAAGTACACAGGAGTACAGAAGTACACACAGAGGAAAGTGAAGGAGTTGGGGACTCATTTTAGATCTAGAACTAAAGAGGCACTGGGGCCTGGGACGGCAACCGGAGGAGTAGAAGGTGGATTACCTCTTTAATGTGCAGAAAATCTTTGGCCTCAAAGTTGACTCCAGAGCCCTGGACTGGGCACTCCTCATCCAACACCCCACAGTAGCTGACATTGGTCCTCACAGCAAATGCCACAGGTTTGTGCTGGGAAATTTGATCGTCAGGGCAGTGAGAGACACCTCGGGACATCTCGTGGGGGACGGCAGAGGCCCCAGACGAGAAGCCTCCTGCCTGCCACACACACTTTTCCACACGTAAGTACCCCCTAACATGACCCTGGGGACCCAAGATCCCGCACAGGTTTGCACCCAGCCGGGCCCCCTGCTGGCGGCGGCGCGGCAGGTATACCTTGGCTCTCTCCAGCTGCTGCTGAGCTTGACTCTCCACTTCCCGCCGGGCACTCTCCCGGTCCTCCTCCAGGGAGACGTCTGAGTCCAGAGAGGGGCGGCTGGTGTAGGAGTCGGCTGAACCCTGGGATGGGAGAGTCTGTGTAAAGGGACTGTATAGGCCTCTCCTAACCTCATTGCCTCTTCTCCACCTTCTAGGGGATGATCTGACCCTCTAAGCTGCTTCTTGTGTACCTCCCAGTGTCTCTGTGGTTACAGAGAGGCTGGCCTAGTCCACAGTGTAAAGATGGGGCCCCTCTGCTGCACACCTATCAATACCTTAACTCCGAATAATCTTCACCCCTTTTCTCTCCTTTTCCCTTCTACCGTGTCCTATGGAGCAGAGGGAAGGGAAAAATACTACAGATGATGTCTCTGAGATGCTGTGGAATCCAGGAAACCAGGTCCTCTTATCCACGCTAGCCTGAAGCAGCCTAGACATGATCCCTTTAAGACGATTGGCAAGAGTACAGCTAGCCAAGAGATGCGGGTCAGAGCCGGGCATGGCGCCGCACACCTATAACTCCAGCGCTTGGGAGGTGGAGGAGCAGGAATTCAAGTTCAGTTGCAGCTAGAGAGGGAGTTAAAAGCCATCCTGGGCTACTCGGGACCCTCCCTCAAAAAAAAAAAAAAAAAAAAAAAAAAAGAAGCCAGATGGGGTAGGGAGAGGGGATGGTGTGACTGCTCAGCAAGTGAAGAAGAGGCATTTGCTGCTCTAAGAGGGTGACCTAAGTGAAATCCATGGGGCCAACAGTGCAGGCAGAGAACTCATCTCTAAAGTTGTCCTCTGATCCACACACACACAGAGTAAATGAAAACACACACACACACACACACAGTAAATGAAAACGCACACACGTGCATGCATGCACACAGTAGTGTGTGTGAGCTTACACACACCCACACACAGTAAATTCACACACACACACACACACTCTGGTAGGCCCTGTCACAATGTGACCATTTGACCACTAAGACTCTATCCAAGTTTTTTGTTGTTCGTATTTGAGCCAGGGTCCACCATGTAGCACTGGCTAGCCTAGAATTTTCCATATAGACCAAACATAGACATTTGCCTGCCTCTACCTCCCAGATGCTGGTGTGCCACCACAGCAGGCTTCTAACAAGGTTTTGGGATCTGTTAAATGGATGCATATTTGCCTTGCGGTGTGAAGATTGGGCCCAAAGTTGCAGACTCCTGGAAGTCTCCTTTGCTCTCCCCACCCACTACTTTCCTCTCACACCTGCTAGGACTGGCCGGGTGTAAGCAGCAAGAAGCCGGGAAAGAGAGAGCAACCCAAAGCCATCTCCTGGGTACAGGCGAGGCCATCACACACCCACCACCTGGCTGTACCTCCCTAGCCTTCCCCTGGGCCCAAGGGATATGAGGCCCTGGAGGGAGGGTACGCTGGTGCCAGGCAACCAAGCCGATACAGGGCCTTGGGGAATGGGGTGCCTTTGGTGATGTGAACAAGGACAGTCCTTGAGTCCTGCCCTTAGTAGGGTCTTGGGGTAAGGAGTGTACACTTGAAGGGTTGCGGAGGGAGTTCACCTTCAAGGCCACAAGGAAGATGCCAATCAAATAAGGAAACTTCAACTTTGAGACAAGCAGCTGAAAGTTAAGGTAACTAACTGCGTTAGGGAACAGGGAATCTTTTCCGACTCTTTTCCTTACATGCAGCTGCCTGGAGGGATTCTTCCCTTAATTCTGAGATGGCCAGCGGCACAGAAAAGGTAAAAACAGGATGTGTGTAAGGAAAGCGGTTTCCAAATGTTCAGGTTGAAGAACAGACCCTAGAACTCTCTGGCTCTGATCACCTAACGAAACACACCCTGTTGACCATGCCTCTGCCCCAGCCCTGCCTGTGCGGAGGGCTGGTCACTTGGTGTCAGTCCTGGAATCTGGGCTAGAGACTATGTCTATTGTAAACCAAAGGCTCAAGGCAGCACCAGAGTGGTACCGCCTTTTGTTCTGCACAAGGAGAGGCTCTCTGCTGCTCCCCATCTCTCCAGCCAAGGCAGAGCAAGGCTGAGTCCCTGGGGAAAAAAAAAAAAAAAAAAAAAAAAAAAAAGCCTTGACATGGAGTGAGGGACCTCACTGGCAGGACAGAAGTGCTAGCTGCAGGGTGTGGGTGGCTAAGGGGATAGAGGCCGGCAGGGGAGAAAGGCTGGAGGCCAGGCAGGATGACCACCCACTGTGTATGTATCACATACTTCCTGGGTACCCAGCAGGTGTTGGGAGAAGTGTGGCTTTGACCTCTACAGATGCTAGCGCTCAGCCTAATTTAGTCCTCACTGCCCATATCTGGGGTATCTAGGCTAGAAGACCTCTTAACCCTGACTGGGCGAGAACGACAGGTCTCCCCCTAAATTGTTCAATGAGTTGTGTTCTGAATGGTAAAGTCACTTTCCATAATTCCCGTGTCCTCGGGTATTGCCTGGGCTACTCTGGTATCAATTAAGAAGGTAGGAACACCCTGTAGAGCCCGTTAGGGTCTTATCTCCCCCACCCCCTTATATCCAAACAGCCAGAGTCTCAGTACTCCCGAGTTGGCGCAGTGCCCTGGTGGTTGCCCCCCTTGCCTGGCGAGTGTGTGGGCAGGCTGCAGCTCCTCTCTTGCCTGGCACGGGGGAAGAAGAGGAGGGAGATGAGCCCAGTGGATTTATTTAGAGCTTGCTCTCCCTCCTCCTGCCTCAGAGGGGGCCTCAGAGAGAGCAAGGAGCTAGCAGGAGGAAGCCAAGTGGGGGGGAAGCGAGCCAAGAAACAGAGAGGGTCAGGAGGGAGCCATAGGTCAGCAGGCCACCCTCAAGCAGCATCCCTATGGGCCAGTGTCTTTGGCCTGACTTCTCACCAGGGATGAGAAGGGAGCACCCAAGGCCCTGCGGCCCCACAGAGAGGTCCGTTCTCCAGCGCCTCCTGGAACCCTGGGCTACACCAGCTGTCCCTTCGACTGTCAGAGAGAGGCCTGAAAATCATCTCTCTGCTCTCACAGCAACGTAATTAGCCCCAGAGCCCCACGGAAAACTGGGCCCGGAAGGAGCCTGGTCCCAGAACTGACTGACACATGCCTGTTCTGAGCCTCACAAGACAGCAGACTTGACCTAACCCTATCAAGGGATGTTTTCAAGCCATGTAAGTGGTCCTTTCCCAAGAAGGCCCTGGTGTGGCATGTTGGAGAAAGTCTGGCAACTCCAAGGGGCTCTGAAACTGCTCCCCACTCTTGTCCCTTCTTTCCAGGCATTCTTTCTGCTTTCTGAGCTCCGGGAATCACAGCCTAATGAGCTGATTTGTCTCAGTGGGTCAGGAGATAAAAGCAAAGAGGAGAATTAAATATTTATTGGTTGCCTGGTTCTCTGAGAAAAGATCTTCCTTTCCATCCCCTGGCCTCACCTCCAGGTCCTCCATGCTGAGCAGGAGCTCAGAGGAATCCTCAGCAGGGGCCTGGGGAGGTGGACGGAACTCAGTCTGAGGGCCCACCCATGTGGTGGGTGGCCTTTGGAAGAAGCTGGGCTATAGTGAGGGTGAGGGGTCAAAGCTACGCACAGGGGTGGTGGGCAGAGGAATAACAGCCCTTGTCAAGTCCTAGAATTCCTATCTGCAGAGACTGGTACCCGACTCTCTAAATACTCTTCCAGCTCCCCAATTTGTCATTTACTTGAGGCACAGGTCCGAGCGACTCCCCTAAAGATCAGCTCCTCCTGTTCTGTTCAGACCCCATAAACCCAGAATTTGGAACTCCAGACAGTCCGTGTTCCCTCTAAAACCTCGGTGCCAGGGCCTTCGGTCTTTCCTCCCTCTGCCCCTTATGTCCTGAGCTTTGGGGCCACCTGCTCGAGCCTTCTCCCTACAGTGTCCCTCTGTGCACACACCCGAGTACCCAGGAGACCTGGCCTTGAAAGCCCATATCCCCACTTTCCTAGAGAGCCCCCCGCCCCCATTGCGCGCCCTGCCCCGCTGTCAAGGCGTTTTTTTTTCAAAGTCCTGAACCGGGGGGGGGGGGGGGGGGGGGGGGAAGGGTTGAAGAGAGAGGTGTCATCCCAACTCCCCCACCCCCACCCTCCCCGTGGGCACTCACCGCCTCCGAGTCCTCAAACCCGGGCACGTAGGAGTCGTCATACATGGGGGAGTCCGGGGTGGGTGGGGGGGGAGAGCGAGCGGCGCCGGGGGCGAGGACGGCGGGCCGCGCCCGAGATGCCACCGAGCCGCGCAGCCCTGCGGGCGGCGGCGGGCGGCGGGCGGCGGCGGCGGCGGCGGCGGAGAGCGCGAGCGCGAAGGAGGGAGCGAGCCGCGAAGACCAGCTGCTCGCCGCTCAGATCCCCGCTCCCCTCCCCAGCCCCCAGCCCCGTCGGTCCCACCCCGAGCGCGCCAGCGCGGCTCAGGAATCTGCCACCGGCTCCCACAACAATAGTGCCCGCCCACCGGACCCCCTCCCGGGAAGGCGCGGGCGCCGGGGACGCCGGGGCCGCGGAACCGGGCGCACGCGAGCCGGGAAGGTGGGTCCCCGGCACCTCTGGGGCCGGGGCGACTGGGAAGAAGGGCGGAGAGGCTTGCAGGCGGGGCGGATCCCGGCGGGGAGGAGGCGGGGCGAGGAGGGATGCGGAGACAGGGACTTGGGCAACCCAGGAACTGCTCCGCCGGGAAACAAAGGGCTGGCGCGGGGGAGGGGAAGGGGCGAGACACTGCCCAGAGACGCGACCCCAGCGGAGAACCGAGAGGGTGCGGGCGGCGGGGAGGCTGGATGGAGAGACAGGAGGGCTGGAGGCAGAGAGGACGCGCAAGACAGGAAAATGGAGAGCTAGAGGGGGACGGGCAGCGGATGGGGAGAGGTCTCAGGTGATATAGTGCGTTGTCGGCTCCCTGCATTTCCAGGAGACGCCCGAAGCGAACCCCGCAGAGGTACTAGGGAGGAATGGTTTGGAGATCCCAGACCATGAAAGCAGCTCCTGCCCTAACAGGTGCTTGGCCCTCTGGGCACCGGGCTGCAGCAAAGGGCCGACCCTTGAGAAGGGGGAAGTTCGGGTACGCTGGCTAGGCCTCCCCACACCTGTTGCACGGGCAGATTTCATCCAACTTAAAGCCGGATGGAGAGTCTCTTCCTCACTTCCCTGCCAAGGATTGTGCCAGACATTGCCAAGGCATCCGTGGGAACTGGGGCAGAAAGGGGCTGTTTTAGGTGAGCCTAAAGGGACGGGTGAAGCCAAGAGGGTGGAGGCACGGGGATGGCTGCAGGTGGAGCAGAAGAAGGTGGGATCCCGACTCTGAGATTGGCAAGGAAAAGGGGCACGTCTCTCGCTTGGCAAAAGGCCGGGTGTATGGTGGGTCGGATGCTCCTAGCCACCTCGCTCCACTCAGCCCCCGTTAAAGGGCTGCTGAGATTGGAGGAAAATGGGAGAAACCTTCCGGGGGCTCTCCCCACATGAGCTCCCTCCTTCTTACATCCCCTGACCAAAAATTCCCTTTTGAATTTTGACCACCTGCCTGGGCACCCCAAGAGGACGTGAGACAGACAGACATCAGCCATGCCTGGTGTCTTGCTCTCTCAACCCAGCTGCTTTCCATTCCTATTCCTCACACCCAGGAGGGTAAGCTCAGCACTCTGCCCGTCCCTTTCCCTTCCTGGACCAGAAGGAAATCAGAAAGCCACAATTTGCAAGAGTTCATGAGACCTATTAGAAGGTAGTGTGTGTGTGGTGGTGGTGGTGGTGGGGGGGAAGACCACCCAAGGCAAATGCCTCCTCACCTCTGTCTCAGCTTCCTGTTTCCTTGGCAAGAAAAAGAGGGGGGTAGGGGGCTCATCTTACGACACCCTAGTCTGCCTCTTTCTACTAGCAGGGTTGGCAGGCAACTTTGCTGAGGGCAGCAGCCGCGATTGGGGGAGCCTGCTTTCACAGCTCGAAGTCTGCATGATGAGGGGTTAGTGAGACATTACAGTCTGCGTTCCCAAGCATCGCCTTCGCCCTGTACCTTCCTTTCGCGTTGTCTCTCTAGCCCCCTCCTTCCAGAGGGTGGAGAGGTCGGTATCAAGGGGGAAGACCCCCCCCCCCAGGCTCTCTCCTGGGAGATGGCCTCTCATCGGAGGACTGACTCCTCACCCACAGAGGGTCCTGGGACTGCAGGTAGCTGTGGATCCGCTACCAACAGATAGATTCCCTTCCTCACACCTTGTTGTCTGTCTCCATCCCCAGCTGGGACAATGGTGTGTCTAAGTCGGCCTCTGAGAAATGCGTTGCCATGCCAACCACCTCCCCAGGAGATGGGTTCAAGTTCCCCATACCGACGGGCATCCCTTGGGTCCTGCAGGCGGCGGCACTTGGGTCTTCCCTTTCCCCCCCCGCCCCCCCGCACCTCTACCCCTGAGTCGCTACCCAATGCCCGCTTCGTGTCTCACCACCGTCAGTCACACCTGCCGAGTCCAGTTCTCGTGCTAATCTAGCTACGGAAGCAGGAGCAAGGAGGAAAGCCTCAAGTGTGCCAGGGAGCTGGGTAGATCCAAATTCCTGGACACCAAGTGGGGAAACTGAGGCAGGAGCTGGGAGCGCTACACCAGGTGGAGGCCCCTAGCATCCCAGCTCTAAGGTTGCGCCCCCCCCCCGCCCCGCCCCGCCCCGCCCAGGAACTCCGAGAGGGTCACAGAGGGAGCCTGGCACAGCCCCCCTTCCAATCGAGCCCCTTTCCCGGCCCCCAGTCTGCACATGCTGGAGGAGCCGCCAGTTCCAGCCTTCCCCTCCTCTCGCCCAGAGGTCTCGCCTCCCGTTCCCCCACCCCGCTTCCCCTCCGGGTGCTGCAGTTTCTCCCAAATGCCGGAGCCTTCCTCCCACCCCTCTGGGGAGGGGGCCCCGGCGGCGGTTACCTCGTTCAGCAGGAAGGTTGCACTGGAGTCAGAAAAAGACATAGACCGGGCTAGCGGCCTCTCCCCCTCCCCCGGGCCAGGGGCTCCGAGGCGGGAGCAGGACCCAGCCGCGGCTCTGCACACTGCTCCAGCCCGCTGCACGCCTGGCCTCGCCCCACGCCCCGCCCAGCTCCAGCCGCCCGCTCCCTCTCCTAGCTCGTGGTTCCACCCCTTTCCTCTCTCCCCCCCCACCCCCTCCTTTCTAACCTCCTCCTTCAATCTTCCTCTCACTCCCCTGGCCTCTCAGTCCGGTCTCTTCCCCACGTCAGTCCCTCCTCCCTACCACCCCCAGGTCCCTAGTCATCGGGTGTCTCCCACCGCCCCTCCATCCTCACCTCGCTTGCTTCCCCCCGCCCCAAGCCATCCCCTCCCCTCCCCCCTCCCCCAGGTCTCCGGGAAGGACAGGGTCTGTCTGTGGAGCTCGGCCAGCCACCGCAGGCAGAGGGCGGGAAAGGTTCAAAGGCAGGCGCGGCACCGGGGCTTTTAAGGGGAGGAGGTTCGGCTCCCTCCAGCCCCCAGCTCGGTGCAGCTAGTGCCCCACCCCACCCCACCCCACCCCACCGCCGCGCGCCCCAGCGCCCCCAGGAAGAAAGGCCCTCCTGCGTCCCCACCTCAGCCGGGTTAACAGACCGAGAAGGAAGAGTGCTGGTGCTCAGTTCGCTTGCCCAAGCCTCAAGACGCCCCTCTGAGCTCCGGGGAAGCCACGTCCAGCCACCCTTTTCCAGGTCCCGACCCTGAGGCTTCTGCAGAATCCTCGGGGAGGCAGCCCAGCGGGGACGCCTCCCCGTGTCAGTCAGTGCGCCGCAGGTCTCGGGGAAGGTCAAGGCGAGGGGAGGCGGCGGCCTCCCTGCCCGCGGTAGCGCCCCCTGGACTCGATGGCCCGCTGTCCGCACCCGCCCTCCAGGTGGCAGCACCCGCCGCACGTGCTGTCTCCTGCCAGCAGGAGGCGCTGCTGCAGAGGGCGCAGCCTGGATCTAGACCCAGCCAAGCCTTTCCCCCCTCTCCAGGAGCCACATCCCATCTCCAGACACCCCCCCCCCCCCCACCCCCGGGAGAGAACCCCAGGCTGCACTCTGTCCCCACCCTTGTGGGGAGTTCCTTTGAGACACTCAAGACCCCTCCAAAGCCCCAGACCGCTCTTACCTCCATCCTGGTCTCGGGGGGAACCCAGGCAAGCCGGGCAGCATCCCAGCTCAGTCTGGGCAGCAGAGAGCACAAAGTCGCAGGACTAGGACGCTTTTGGCTTCTCGGGTCAGTACCCCTTCTCGTCCCCTCGGGCGGGCACGTCAAAGCGGACAAGCCCAAGTTCTGGCGGGGGGGAGGGGGGGAGAAGCGAGGGTGTGATCCCAGTTCGCTGGCTTCCTACACCCTTCTAAGCGGACCAACCTGTCATTGGTCCTTCGATACTGGACCCTTCCTGGTTCTTAAGACAGTGGCTGCGCTTGGGCCTGGGGCGAGTGGAAGCAGACCCCTTCACGGCGACAGAACTGAGACCTTAATGACCTGGGCGAGTCTCCAACTTCACCTCAGCATCAAGGGGAAAACTCCCCTTCTCAACCCTTCTTCGAACCCACTTTCTCGGGGTGGAGGGGGTTCGGGACCCCTCCTCTCCACCTCGCTATTCTCTGAAGATCTCTGGGGACTGTTTTCCCCTCTCTGTTCAGCTGACTGTCCACTGGTCCCATCCCAGAGCTGAGGTGGACCAGGACCCTTTCTCAGAGCACTCCATTCCAGGTTCCTCTTGGGCTGGCTGTAACCTGGAAAGCGCCTGGGGAAGCCACTGCCTGCCCTTCCTCTGTGGTCTGTTCCTGCCACAAATGTGGCCACCCCAACTTACTCAGCTTCAAGCCTGCCGAGGAGAGGTAGGAGGGTGTTCATTCTTTGCATTTTGTTTTTGTTGGGGCTTGTAATAGAGGGAACTAAAGTTTATCTTAGGCAATAAGACCTGGAGGGAGAGAAGTCTCTCCCCCCCACACACACACCGCTCACCCCCCCTCCCTCCTTGCCTCCCCTGCTGACCACAGCTAATGGACTAGCTCCTCTGGGCCTTGGGGCGCTTCAGTTTTCACAGGAGAAGCAATTGTGCCTGGCTTCCCTCCTCCCTCTGCCTGAACCTACACCCCCGAAGCCATGGCCGCCTCTTTAAAACATAAATATCAGTTCTCCGAGTGAGAGGCACAGGGGCAGCCCACGTTCCCTGTTCCTTTTCACCCACGCTGGTCTCTGGTCACATGCCTGGTCTCATACCTGGTCTCTGCTATGCCAAGAAGGCAGGTATCAGAACTGGATTAGGGAGCCCAGTCTCCAGACTCCAGAACTCCCTTCAAAGGCCCTCCCGTGAGGTGATTGGCAGGTCACAATCTCTCTACCTCCCCACTTTAAAGACTGATCTGTAACTGTGCCTTGAATCTCTGGGCAGATTACCTAAGAGAGGCACCTAGCGAGCAAGCATGCCTACCTCTCTGGGGCTCTGGCCCCAGCTTGGCTGTGCAGATCTAGGTTCCCATACAGAGCCCCCAAGGCTTCATCAGCTCACCCTGTCAGGACTCAGGGTGCTGGGCAGGGCCCCTGCCAGCCATCCTGACTAGTCTGCCCTGCTTTCAATCTCCACTTGCCTCTTCAGAATGGTGTAATCTGGACAACTAAGCCAGTGGCCCTGGTATTTGGAAGTCTGGGCATAACTAGGACAGAATCGGTAGTCTACCATATCCATCCTTTTGTACCTATTAGACCAAAAAAGATGCCTAATCCTGAGAAAATTATGTGGAAGTAACTTCTATAGGGAATTCCCATTGTCAGCTCCAAATATTGCTGTGGGGAAGTTCCTCCATCATCAAACCTCAGTCTCTCCTGCTGCAATCAGTATTATTTTCCTGGGCTCCGCCTCAGGGCCTATAGAGTTATTTGATGCTTGAGGCACTTTCAGACTCCATCCCCTGATGCAGCATTTGCTATAAATATGTCTGAAGAGTTTCTTGCTGACAGTGCCCAGAATGATTGCACCTACCTCCCAGAAACCAGGCCCTGAGAGGGAATGAAGAAGAAGAGCTATGGCTTCCAGACCCAACTCTTGCCCACTTTGGGGCAGACAGTGGATCTGTTTTGTACATTTGGGGGGGGGGTCCCTCTTTGCTTGGAAGAGGAGCATTGAGTAGCCAGAGATGCGTGGCTCCAGACTTCTGCCTATCAGGGTCTGGCTCAGCCTGGTGCAATCGAGGTGCTCCATGAATGTTTGTTTTGGTCTTGGATCCCAGTCCCCCTGCACTAGGTGACCAGTGGCAAAGAGTGGATTACAGGAGGAAGAGGGCTAGCAGAGGAGTAGAGTCCAGTGTGTCCCGGTGAAGGAGAGGGGACGCAAAGGCCCTGCCACGGGTTAGACCTTACCACCATAACTCCTCCTCCTCGCTACAGACAAAGAACGGCTTGGCACACTCCTAATGTTTAGGATTCTGAATCCCCTTGCCACGCGCAGGGTCGGTTCAGGTCATCCACCCCCACGGTCGACAAGCTCCGTAAACACTAGCAGTGGTTAGCCAGAGAGGCTGGGGGGTGGAGAGATGGGGGCAGCATGGCAACCCCAAGAAGAGGTTTCGGGGATGTAGACTAAGATGACAGATCCAGCAGAGCCGAACTCCTGAGGTGGGGACAGCTGAGACCTGTCAGGGGACCGACCGACCGAGGGGTGTGGACATCCGTTAGAAAGGTAGCCTGCCTGCAGAGGCTCAGCCAGGTCACAGGGTTGACCCTGGTACACGCACTCCAGAGAGCCGGGGGTAGGCGCTCTCTGAGATCCTTCTGTTTCCCCCTGGCTCACAGCAATGTGGCTTTTGTCTCCCTGGCCCCCTGGCGTCAGCCCAGACTGAAACCCTTTTCACCGGAAACAGTGGGCCATGTGCAGCCTAGGCTTGGGAGGCTGGGCACCCTCTCTGCTCATTGTCCGGCTCTCTGCGGCTGTCAGCCTCCCTCTCCCACCCCACAGAGGGCTCTGAGCGGTGGCAGCCATCTCTGGTTCAGAAGGAGGGCATGGTGCCTGCGGCCTGCCGGAGAATGAATTATTGAAGAGAGTGTAGTGCGAGCTGCTTGCAGCTGCCGCCTCTTGGGCCCGGCATTGCCTCTCCCTCTGCTTCTCACTGCTGCGAGGGACTCTCAGGCCTGAGGAAGGGTGTGAGGGAGAGCAGGACCTGGATAGGGGTGGGGGAGTCGAGGTGTTGGGCTTGGGGGGAGAACCTCCCCGGAAAGGAAAGAGGTGGGCCGGCCGGCCGGCAGAGCGTCCAGATGAGGAGGCTACTCTTAGGATAGAGAGAGCTGATAGTCATCTTTGAACCAGGCTGGGGACTAGGAATGGAAGACCCTGTGCCTAGTGGCTGCCCAGAGTTGCAGGGTTGGACTCCCATGGGCCCCTGGGGTTGTGGAGCCAGGAGTCTGGGTCTTTGAAAGACATGCAGTCAGCACAGTGATGAGGTTGAGGGTGGCTATGGGCAGAGTGTTGGCACGCTGGCCTGTCCCTTGGGGACCCGCCCTGCATCCTGACATGAGGCCTCCTTTAGGGAAAGACCCCTTCTCTTCTTCCTCTTTCCCTTCCTCCCTTTTCCTGCCATGAAGTGTGCACACCTCCACTTTCTCTCTCTCTCTCTCTCTCTCTCTCTCTCTCTCTCTCTCTCTCTCTCTCTCTCTCCCCCTCTCCCTCTCCCTCTCCCCTCTCTCTCTCCCTCTCTCTCTCCCTCTCCCTCTCCCTCTCCCCTCTCTCTCTCCCCCCCACCAAATAAAACTCTTCATTGAGCCCTGTCTGCGTGGTGTCTCTGTCTCCCACCTGCCCTGGGGCATCTTGTCTCCAAACCCACCGAGACCCCTCTCTCACCTACAGTACATATCACTACTCAGAACCTCAGTGCCTCCCTACACACAAGAGCCTGTGGGTGTGTGGGGTGTGTGTGTGTGGAGAGTGGGCAGTTAAA